ATTGCAACATCTTCCTAAACAACTGAAGGCCCGTGCTATCTGCTTTAATTCATTCAACTATGAATGAAGCCAAGATAAATAGAATAGTTATAAAATACTACAAAAAATGAACCAAATAACCTTAAAATGTAAAATTAATCATTTCCTCTTTTATTCATAAACTTTTGTGATCTGCCTTGATTTGGATCTCTTTTCTGCTTACATTCAGAGTTTAAATACAAAGAATTTCAGCTGATATGAGTGGCATAGCTTGCTTTACCAAAGATTCTCAGATGAAAAGATAAATAAACTCCCTAAGTTGCAGGATATGAATTCTAGGGACATAGTTATCCTGCAAGAATAAGACTTAGGGGTTCATTTAGAGAAAATTCTCAGCAAAATGTGCAAATATATTTTTAGCCTTACAGTTATTTGTTTCCAATTCAAAGAATTAATTGTGTAAAAATTGCATGAGCACATTTATGAAAATCTTATGTAGTAATATTTGAACTTCCTCTTTCACTTTTTATTGTGATGGAGCACTTCCATTGAAAGCCCAGATGTAGGCACACTTGAATAGGGAAGATTCTTGGCAAAATCACTCCTGAACACATTTCTCAGACACTTCACCAGGGCTTATTCCTTACATATCTCCTAAATATGATGTGAAACAATCATTTTTAAAATCAGTTTTAAAATATCAATCCCCTGGTTCCATCTTTGAATGAATTTGAATGTTTGCTCTTTGAGTTTGTATCTGTATCCTACAAATTCCACCTCCCTCCAATGAATCTGTCATATTCACACTGTAATCAAATCAGCACTAGGTCCTGCCCCAAATGTGAATTCTCCTTTCATAAAAATTTTCTGTGTATACTTCATTATCATTAGTATTATTTTGCAATCATGAAGACTTTATGTCTGATATATATGCCATGGGGGATCACTTCCGGATACAATTTGAATGTTAAGATGGGGAAATTTATAAAATACGAAAGGAAAGTACAGTACCCAGTAAAACAAAAAGTAGAAGGTCTGTGGTAGAGAATTGGAGGAGACGAGGAAACCCATTATTAATTCTGAGAATAGGTCTGTGGAACTAGGGTAAGTACTTTAAAGTCACTAGGAAGTGAGGAAGATTTTCCTTACACTTCTCTTTCTTCATGTGTTGTATTGTTGTCAACCCGCAGATAGGCTTCTGATTCTCTATGCACATGACCATTATCCAGCCTCTAAGATTATATCACCTCAATCTGGGAAAGTACACATGTGTGTATCACCTCTTTCACTCTCTCTCTACATGGAAGTTCCGGGAATATTAATAGAATTTCAGGGAGACAGAGCTGATGAGCCAAGTTCTGGTCAGCTCTACAACTGATCTCAAGCCCTGGCTTGGCGACATCAGGTCACATGCCACCAATGGCATTGCCTAAGCTTTCTCCAGCTGAGAAGAGGGGGAGAAAACAATGTTGTGAATTTTTTCCCCTAGGGGAAAAAAACAATGCTATGATTAGATATACCCAGGAATGTCTCCCTTCCTGACTAATGTGACAAATCTGTTCAAGGATTTTTCTTCTGGTCTTCAGACCATGGAAATCAGAAGGTTGTGTTCGAAACAAACTCTAAAACCAAAAATTAGAATTCATAGATATTTTGCTGGGAAAAAGACACACTTAATATAAGACCCAACCTATTATTAGGTATTTTATATTTGTCATAAGACTCATTGACATGATTCTGGATCTGGATCCCAGATGTAGCAGGGGAATGGATCACATCATCCTTTTTCTCAACTATTTTCAGGTTTAGGTAGCTGAAAGTACATCTTTGCCATCATGACATAAAGTATGGGTGCTGCCTATATATTTGGATAAGTGCCCATTCTCCACAAAACCTGTTGACATCTAACAGTCTTAGGAGTTGCAAGACTCTTAACTTGGTTGTAAAGAAAATAGGAAGAATTCGATTCTTCTTCTTCTTGCCCTTCTTCCCTCCCCCAAATGAAACTTAAAAAGCTATTAGATAAAGTGGAGAGCCATGACTGAGACCAGATTATAGAAAGATGATCAGAACCCTTGAAAGGGAACAGGAAGAACTACACAGGTAATTTGGCACTGTGCCTAGAGCATGGGTGAAATACAAGTGTTTTCTGGAGCTCACTCCAGCTCTGTGGTCTGGCTTTTGTGAGTGAACTTTCTTAAACTTCAGGGTTGAAATTGAGATTCTGGCTTAGACCAACTGAACTAGGCCCATAAATTGTACTTCTAACAAATTTCCAGGTGATACTGACATGAATGACCCATGAACCATGCTTGGAAGCATAAAGACTTTTAGAAAGCATAAATTGTGTAACCTGAAAGAGTAGGAAAAATGATATTTGAAACCCTTTCTTCTTTGTGGAAATAGTTCATAGAAAGGATAAACTCCTTCTCTCCCCAGGGATTGCCCTACCTCATTTCACACACCACAGGCCTTCATCACAGTTGGCTTTGGCTCTACTAAGGATGGTGAAGTTGGCAGATCTCCTATTGGATTAGTAGCTCTGCAGAAGAATGTGAGGAAGGCTCAGAGAGAGAGAAAGGAGATGCAAGAGCCAAGAAAGTAAGCAGCAGGAAACAAGTTGAGCCACAAAAAGAGAAATTAACAATACCTAGGTACCATAGGTAAAAATATGAGGAGGGAAATTATTAAAAATGACTAAAAAATTGGATAAAAGTGGATGGGGCTTGAGGCAACTACAATTTGAAGATATTATTATGCAGAAGTTGATAAATACTAGACTTAATACTAGATATACAAAATTACATCTATAGAAAGGTATCTAATTTAAATGTAAACCAAAAGCTCAACTACTAGGGAAGCTGAGGCAAGAGGATCAAATTCAAGGCCAGGCTGGGTACTTTAGTGAGACCTATTCTCCAAACCAAACCTAGCAGGCATAAGGCCCTACGTCCAGTACTATATAGACATGCAAAAATATTCTAGGAAATGGAATAAGAATTTAATTTGATAATAAGTTGAACATATTAATATTAATACGAAAGTCATTGACATCATCTTTATGTAAGAACAGTCACTATTGTTTTAAATCAATTAATATTAAAACAATTAAAAGTGATTTTCAGGTTTATTCTCAATCTTTATGACCACTCTTATTTTTCAGTTATGATCTTAATGTTGTCAATAAAGAATTCTCCAGGTTGTTAAGATATTGTTATCCAAAGAACTCAGTCAAAAACTTTAAACTCAAATAGAATATATAACTCAAGCATGAATCTGAGCTTACTTAATATGATGAACAAACTTTTTTCATTGTTGATTCACCTGTACACTGTTATAAAAATTCCTGAATTGGAATGTCTTTTGATAGGTCATGCATGGGTAAATTGACCATGGTTCTCAGCTCAGGTAAATAATGTAATGCATTATCTACCCACTTCTAAAGAAGATAAACTCATTCCTTTTATTGGCTCAATAAAGTGTGAGCAAATATTTTCATATTGTGTTTATATATAAACTTTATTCTCTCTACCACAGGTAGTTTAAGCTTTACCTGAGACATAAGACACATACAAAATAACTTGAAAGCAAAATAGAAAATAATAATTGCCATAATAAAGGGGAAAAGTTTTTGAAGGTACAAAGAAAACGAAAAACTTAAGATTGTTTTCATCAAAGAGTTCTCAGAACTAAGTATTCAAGTTAAAAATAAATTTAAGTAAGAATGGCCTGGAAGTAGGATGGTGAGGAAAGCAGATTTGGAATAAATCCACAGATATAGAAAATACAGGGTGTTGGAACAAGGTGGGCACAAGAGTGAACAAGAGGGGAAAATGAGGACATGTTGTATTAAAGCAAAATGTCATTCTGTTTTGGGTCCCCAGCTCAACTCCACCTCCTTTCTTTCAGATCAACAACACCTTCAAATTCCAACACTCTAGTTCTGATTTTTAGTCTCTTCTCAAGGCTGAAGCATACTGATCATGGTCCTCCCTTGACCTTGGTTCATGGGGAAGCATCCCACAACCCTTACACTGACATCTCCTCAAGCACCTTCCTGACTCATGCTCAGTATCTGCAGTCCTTCTTGTCACTTATCATCAAGGGTTTGTCAATTTGACCTCACCTTATCCCTAAACTGTGCTGGGCCACGCTTCTGTTGGCCTCTGTATCCCATTTTTTCTCTAGCTTCTTCCAATCATACCTATAGTTTCCCTATTTCCTATAATGATTCCTTTATCTCTCAGACATCCAATTAGAAGCAAAAATGTTAGGCCATGTTCTCCTTTTATCCTGAGTGCCAAGTCATTCATCAAATTCTCATGCTTTTGTCTTTTTAGTACTTCAGTCTCTGCATATCAGAACCTTGTTGTCCAAACTATTCCTTCAACAGGCTTACCATAATGACTCTAGTGCTTATTGAATGCCAATTAGTCCTAAGCATGCTCATCATAAGTTTCAGTGCAAAAGTTTTAAATGTCTCCATATTTCCTCAGATAGCTGAATTAAATTATTTTGATTGACTTTCAGAACTCCTCACAATTTGATTCAACTCTACTTTTCCCTGTCTTGCCTCCCTGCTCTGTGTCATTTAGTCACTGTCAGTGCAAGCAGAGCTGGTGGTAACCATTCCATAGTGATGATTCCCCCTTACCTGTCAAATTCAGGGCACCACTGTGCTTCAGGAACTCTTTCCTGACTTGTTTATTTTTTTCTTTTTTACCTTCCACACATAATCTACGTGACATCATTTTATACACCTATTTTAACATTGTTTTTTTCCCCTCTGTTATTTCACGTTCACTCTGTCTTTACAAACTAACAAAGTAAGGTCATGTTTTTTGGCTTCATATTTCTGATTTTAGATGTCTAACATAATGATGAACATGCTACAGGTATTTTATTAGTAGTTATTGAATAATGAGCTACAGAGAAAAAAATGAGTGGTTTGGAACAGAATTTATAGAACAATTATATAAAAGGTGCTGTGTAAGATAGAGCTATGCTGAATGCAAACTTACCAGAGAAGACACTAGGTATCTTGGAAAGAAAGCTTTTGACAGTACGGATAGGAATTCCATTTTTTTCATCTTGCATGCGTGCTATGACGTCTTCCATCTAAACAACAATAAAATAATAAAAACCTTCAGAAAGTTGAACTTTTTGAGAAAAAAATCAATTCTCATATCAATTTTGTATGCCAGTTTTGCCCAACTAAGAATACTGCCATTTTCTCACCTTTCTTGATTTTTGTCTCATTAATATTTTAAGTTTGGTTAATAGAGAAAATAACAAGGAAAATGGGCCATTTGGGGGTCCATTAAACTTCTAAAAAGAATGTTATGCTTTGAATATTGCCTTTCTTTTGGCTTCACATTCTTTGGTTATAAAAGCTGAAAGAAAACAGTATTTCATTTTTAAGTCAGAAACCACTGTCACAGCCAATTCACACTTTATTAATGTTATCTCTACTGAAATAAAAGAAAATAGAAGCCTCACAAGTATCTGCTTGGATTCCTCTGCAAGCAAGCGTTTCCATGATTTAGTTTAACGCTAAAGTTCAGCAACCTGCCTGGAAATCTAGGACAGATTACCAGTAACTGCTGTTTCTCTTGCCTAGGCAATAACTGGTCCGAGGTGAATTGTGCACATATATACCATGCATGGGCACACAAACACATCCACACAAAATAAAATGAAAACCATAGTGTAGCCTCCTATCCAGTTAGTGGATTTTATTGCGTCTTTCTTTCAAACTTGTTAGTATATGTGCTTTTGCTTTGAAATTTTTTCACAGTTCTAAGAGGCTGTACTTTACAGTCTGTTGCAGAATTGAGTTCTAAATAAGATGCATTCAGATCAAAGTCTCACACTTTTCTCATGTGTTTCTGTACCTGTGAGACATAATACACACAAAAATATCCATGTTGGAGTATAGCACTTAAATTTATTTATCCACTCATTCCACAATTAGTAGTGAGCACTTACTCTAGGTCAGATTTACTGATGGTTTCTCAGGACATAAAAATGAATATAATTCATTCCTGTCCTTAAAATAAATCCATAATCCATAACAAAAATCAAGGTGAAATTTGAGTAAAGTTTGGTGTTTAGTTAGTAGCATTGTATTAGTGTCAATTTCCTATTTTGATAGTTATATCCTGGTTATATAAGACACTAACATTAGGGAAGTTGAATAAAGAACCTGTGGGAAATCTCTGTGTGGTTTTTGTTTCCTTTCTGTAAGTATAAAATTTCAAATCAAAAGGTTAAAAATTCAAAGTCTAAATTTCACAACAATGAATTATCAAATTCCCATCAACACAGCTTCAGAATGATTTTCAACTCAGAAATCTAATTTGCTTGGAAAAGGATCATCAGATTTATTAGTATGAGAACAATTGGTGATGCAGTTTTTTAAATTAATTAATTAATTTTACTTAGGTATATATGACAGCAGAATGCATTTTGATTCATTGTACACAATTGCAGCACAACTTTTCATTTCTCTGTACATGATGTAGCATCACACCAAATGTGCAGTCATAAATGTACCTAGAGTAATAATGTTCCTCATATTCCACCATCTTTCCTTCCCCCATACCCTCTTCCCTTTCTCCCTCCCCTTTGCTCAATCAAAGTTCCTCCATTTTTCCCATGCTCTCCTCCATTATGGATCAGCATCCACTTATCAGAGAGAACATTTGGCCTCTGTTTTTGGGGGATTGGCTTACTTTGCTTAGCATGATATTCTCCAACTCCATCTGTTTACCTGAAAATGTCGTAATTTTGTCCTCTTTTAATGTTGAGTAATAGTCCATCGTGTATATATATACCACAGTTTTTTATCCGTTCATCTATTGAAAGGCATCAAGGTTGGTTTCACAGTTTAACTATTGTGAATTGAGCTGCTATAAACATTGATGTGGCTACATCACTGTAATATGCTGATTTTAAGTCCTTTGTGTATAGGCCTAGGAGTGGGATAACTGGGTCAAATGGTGGTTCCATTCCAAGTTTTCTAAGGAATCTCTATACTGCTTTCCAGAGTGGTTGCATCAATTTGTAGTCCCACCAGCAATGTATGAGTGTGCCTTTCCCCCCACATTTTCGCCAACATTTATTGTTGTCTGTATTCTTGATAACTGCCTTTGTGACTGGAATGAGATGAAATCTTAGAGTAGATTTGATTTGCATTTCTTTAATTACTAGAGATGTTGAACATTTTTTCATATGGGATGCAGTTTTAACATAAAATGAATCTGTATTTGACTCTAAGTTCTTCTAATTATTATCCATGTAATTTTGAGCAAGACTTCTTCTAACTTCTCAAGATTCAGTTTCCTCATCTATATAATGGTGATACTACTACTTTAAAATAACTCCTTCACAATGTTCTTTATGGATCTGGGTTGGAGTTATAATGAGGCAAACTATTTTATGGTTAAATGATACAATATATATAAAGCCTAGTACATAGTTATGATAAGATTTTGGACTTAGAACGTATGCATATACCCTGACATGTGGGAATGTGCGTTCTCCATTTCCATGTTTCTTTGCATGTGGAGGGAACATCATTAGCATGAAGCCTCATTTTCCTTCTGCCTCCTAACTTATTCCAGGGGTGCTGGGTGACTTATCAGATGGTCAAGAATGAGCAGGGAAGGAGAGATCAGCAGGTGGTCAGGCCCACTCCTTTTCTCTTGGCTGCAAGTCCACATCCAACTCTGCTGATAGACAGCTGCCGGCTCTGGGGCACCAGCAATTGTATTCAGGTTTCAAAATTAAAGGTTAATTTTGCACTTTAAGGAAAGCTTTTTCAGTAATCAAGGTGATTTGGTGACACTTATATGTGCCTTTCTTTTTGGTTGTGGTGCTCTGTTCAGAATTCAAGAAGGAAAAGAAGGTGTTTCTTATCAGGCTTCTCAAGGCCCCGAAGATCAAATGACCCACTTCTTGTGTAATAAAGATATCTATGTATAGAAATATGGAAATAGATATCCTATCATGACTCTTTGTGCTGTTACTATTTGCCCTTGATTCACCTGACACAATATTCTGAAATAAAGAATAAGCTGCTTTGCCTTGCTTGGTATCAGGCCCTAAGCCCTGTATTATCTGCTTAATGGTTTAAACCAGGCCGGATTAGACAGATATGGAGACCTTGCTGGCTCCCACTTTAATCACCTCAGCGCCCAGGGCTGTGGCAACAATCACCTCTGCTTAGGGGTTGAATTAAAGAGCACAGCAATGGGTAGAGGTGCTTTCTCTCTAAAGTCATATCACCTCTCAGTTCATTGGATCCCAATGAATCAAGACCAGGAGGCAGGGAACAGAAAGTGACTTCTGTGGTTGTATTTCAAAACCTACCATTTTTTTTTTCTGAGCCAAAATATCTACAGTAGGGAAAAAAAAATCTCTAATGTAAAAATAGAATTTGTGTTCTCAACTGAAAATGTGATCATGGAAATGGATTCAACTGCTTCTATATTTGTTCAGATGTGATTTACCCATGAAACTTGCCATGACCTAAAATAAGCAAAAACAAACAAACAAAACAACAGCAACAAAAACCAAAAGCGAAGACAAATACAAAAATAATATATACTTTCTAAAAACAAAAATCAGTCACAAAGTCCATGTATAAAAAACCAAATCCATCCTATCCACTAAAAGTTCATCACACATTCACTCAGGGTCTATTAATTTTTATACTCCTCATGGCCTTAACATGTTTGATTATCTGCTTTCTCACCATTAGCAATTGTGTGAGAGAGAATGCTGAAAGCAGTCAAACTTATAGAGCAGACAAGACAGCAAGAGGAATGTGAAACTGTAAAAAACAAATCCAATAAGTATCAAACCCCTGGAAATTTTCAGTTACAGCCAAAAACTCAGATATTTCAAGCATCCCAAGAGAAGATATATATACGTAATGTGTGTATACACACAGATATATATACCACACACACACACACACACACACACACACATTATACACACACACACAATTGTTCCTTGGTGTCTCTGGGGGCTTGGTTGCAGGTCTTGCTGAAAACATAAAGATCCACAGATGGTGAAGTCCCTTATATAACATGAGCCAATATTCACATACAACTTATAAACACAGTCCTGTACACTTTAAGTCATCTCTAGGTTACTTATAATACCTAATAACCCAATAAAATGTAAATATTATGTATATAGTTGATCCACAGTGTTTGTTTAGGGAATAATGGCAAGGAATGGTCTGTACATACTCAATTAAGTTGGATTTTATTAGAATATTCTTGATCAACAGTTGGTTGAACCCATGGATATTGAAACCACAGGTATGGAAGACAGACTGCATAGATATGTATTCATAAGATACCCCTGTGTGGTAACGAGGTATTTTGCATTTTCATTCTCATTAGCTGGTTTCTCAGGCCATGAACATGAGATAACATACCACTGGACTGTGGAGAGGATGATTGCCATGCCTTAGCTCATTGAGGCTTGGTCAGAATCTGATCTTTAAAGAAAAAGCTAGAAACAGGTAATCTAAAAGATTTCTTCTAGCTACAAAACTATTGACGTCTAGAAATAATCATTAGTGTGTAAAAGTAGGTAAGTTTCCTCACCAAGTTAGAGTCAACCCTCTGTCAGAGACAGAGGAAATTAAATAGGACCTTCTACAAATGCATTTGCTGTTCAATGTCAGCATATTTTAATTACAATGAAAATGAGAGAATGATAAAGAGCATGCACTAAGCCAATGAGACCTTAGAACTGACCTGAGTTTAATCTTGGCTGGGATACTTACAAGCTAAGTAAGTTAATCACTCTGAGACTCATTTTTCCCATCCATAAAATAGAGATAATCGTAACAGTATACATCTTATAAGGGGTGAGGATTAATGAAACAGTGCTAATTAAATGCTTACCAAAATGCATCCTCATTTTATCTTCATCTCCCCTTTACTGTATTAGGAAGCCACAGGCCCTTTTATAATCCAGATGCCAAAAAAAAGCTATAGTTAAGTGCCAAATTCTTATTAGAATTTGTCAAGTACTGAGTAGACCGAGATGCCTATGAGTTCTACCTTAGATTTCTTGTAGAAGACTGAATTTAT